GAGCGTAGACAACTGGAGGCCCTTATTAACCTTCCACCTTAGTCGTCAGGGGGACAACACTTCTGCATTTTGATTCTTAATCGAGGATAGATGTAGATATCTATGGGTATCCCGGCATCCACTTGCCATCAAGTGGACTGTGTGTTCGTTTGTTGTCCTTATTTTATAAAGAAAAAAAAACGCAATGAACTTGTTCAAAGCGAATGGCGAAGATGGGGGTAAACATAAATTATGCAAACTAATAAAAAATGAAAATAAAAAACGCCTTAACTTCTTTCCCTTTGATGTTAAGAGTGATTCTGCTGAAGGTAGTAAAGCTTGACTTAGCTATATAAAACCTATTCCCTCTTGTCTTTATGATACCTAAATTGTAATCAATGGAAAAACAATTTGAGCAAGTTTTTGTTTCTTAAAACCGTAATGTAAACTAGGAACTTTTCCTCTATCGTAGAGGTGTTTTGAATACGAGTAAATAAACAGCTGCCGGAATATCACCGTGAACCGGAATAGTTATTAGTAGACCTAGACTTATAAGATATAGAAAGTGTTGTGTGAAACTAAATGCATTAGTTGCTAATTATATTACATTTTAGTGTAGTGATTTTATATTCAGCAGGGTACTATTCATTAGTTTTTTGTAAGGCAACAAAAGAACACGCAGTCCACCTATTGATAAATGGATGCTGGAGTTTATTATTTCATTCATTGTAGCCTTGCCAAAGTCCACGACTGACTCACGCCTCAATCACAAGGGGATATTTGTCATAGTTGTCACGATTAGCACGCAGGTTGACAGCCACATTTTTTTTTGTTAATATTTCGTGTTGTTGTCTGTAAGATGCTGCTGATGATGATCCGTTTTATTTTTCGCCGTCGCCTCTTACGACACCCATGGAATTATATGGAATAGTTGATTCATTTACGCTGCCAGTGCACGGCGGCGGCTGTGATCTATATACCTTCATCTATTCTCGATTGAAATCAAAATGTAGAGGCACTGCCATCACACAGAAATAACATGGAGTGCCGTTTTACTAGTCAAAGAGTCTCCCGTTCTCTACACTCACAACGCACAAAGCGTCGTAGCCTTATGCTGCTATTTTTCGCTCGTATTCTTTGTGGGTGTGGTCCCATATTATAATAATGTTGTAAAATATAATAATAAGAATAAAATGAATGTTGGGCTACAATACCGGTTACCTTAATTCATCGCCAAACTCTTAAATGTCTCATAATTTAGACTTTTATATCGATTAATTATTAATACTAACACAAATCGCGCCATTTTAACATAGTTTTTATTTTACCGTTTTTATAATTTATTGTAATTGTATTCACTACAGCGTTTTAATGTAAAAGTAAATGAACAACTCTACTAACAACTTTACTGTCTTCAGTATACCGCTCTCTCTATAGGAGGCAACGAGATCAAGCTAGCACACAGTCCACCTGATGGTAAGTGAGTGCTGTGGCCCATACACATCTACATTTATCTTCTATTAAGAAACAAAATGCAGATTCGTTGTTGTTAAGATGAAATGCCTCGTTTTCATTAAAAAGGGTGTCCAGTCCTCCACAGCCTATAAGAAACACAGCATCATTAGGCTCCTATTTTACGTTGGTATTCTGTGAGATCCCGGTTGAGCTGAGCTATTCGTGCTACAATCATAATGTAGCTGCAGCATGTTTCTAGCGCGTTGAGACGCCCTTTTTCATTGTCGCCATTTACAATGAATCAAAACGTGTTGAAGAATTATTACGACTCCACCACGAGGCAAAATAATAATCTTAGCTGGATATTCAACTGAATATTAAAAATAAGACCTTTAATAAAAGTTAAAACTTCGATGAACTAAAAAGAATACAATTTCCAAATAGTAACTTCAGAAGTACATCTTCATATTCAGTACACTTTGACTTTTAAAGCTATTTTGCGGAAATTATTTTCATTATAGTTCTTCAAAGTCTGCTTTTTACCACATTTTAAAATATTTTTTTAATTATTTTATTAGCACGCTTTCGAATGACATGAAATCTTGAACATAGCTTAGAATTGGATAACAATGTAAGAATATGAAAATGACGTGGTTTATTATTTTTATTAATTAATTTTTAAAATTTCACTTGCCATTATTAGCATAATTTTTGACCCCTTTGAATGATCCAAGAAATATTAAAGACTCTATTGTTGTCTAATTGAATACACAAAAAAATTTATACCCTCCTTTTCTACCCTTGCATGTGCAATATTTTTTCCAAGTTTACATTGCACTGCCCCAGAAGTGTAAACTACCATTACCGTTATCGTTACAGCTTATTAAATTTCACTGGTGAACATAGGCCTCCCCATATATTACCACATACCCCCCCCCCCCCATATTTGCCGTAGTTGCCACGCTTCGCAAGCTAGTTGGCAACCGCAGTTTTCTTTCAGTCGTTATTAAGAAGACGCTGCTGCTCATCTTCTCATTTGTTTCCTTGAAGAATAACCTATTTAATAAAAATACAATAATCGAAATCGGTCCACATTTGACGTAGAAATTGAGTAACATAGGTACATAAAAAATGCAACATACTCTCGAATTTAGATTCTCCTCTTTTTTTATTTCTTGAGTCGGCAAGAAAAGTTAAATTTGAAAATCTTAATTTAACGCTGAATAAAACCCAATGAATTGAATTTTGATTCAATTTGTGAAATGCATTGATAGCCTGTATGTGAAACAGTGATATCGACTATAGATCTCAAATATTGACAAGCATTTACCAACATGCACGTAAAGCGGTTAGGAATTCCGATTGGTTCACCTTACCTTACCTTACTTTAGGAACCAAGTGAGTGATCCCAGTAGTGAAGAGGCTCGGGAGCGACTTCTGGTCAAGAGCCTCTTGAAACTGTCGGGCGAGCACAGCGTGACACACTATGAACCCCTTCAGCCAGTAATGATGCAGCCCGTCGAGCCCCGGACTTTTCCAGTTCGGGGCCCTACGGACCGCCTCAGCCACGTCTTCCGGCGTTATGGTGATGGGGTCCATAGGCGTAACACTCGCACCCTGGCTCGCCACAACTTCCATCCAAGGGCCCTCGCTGTGGTTTACGGGCTCTGACCACAGGCCACGCCAGAATGCGATAATGTCAGCCTGATCCGGTCCTTGGCCCGCCCCCCATACCTTTGGTCGCTCAAATGATTTATAGAGCCTCTTCTGATCACTCTGGAAGAGACAATTCTGGTTGAACCGCCTTGACCTCTCGGTAAATCGTCGAATCCACTCCCCCAAGCAGCGATCTTTTGCTTCAGGTCGTCTATGCGCTCCGTTAGTTTCTGCGCGATATCCGGCTGGGACAAACTGATATTTGTCCCAGCAAACGCCATCCTAACGGTGCGCATAATCCTCGGTCTATTATTACCCGACCTGAAGCTTGTCAGTCTGCCGATAAGGGCCCTTGCCTTTGCGACACGGTCCTCGATTCTTTTTCTCCAGGCTGGGATGGCGCTACTTTGTGTAGTAGCGCGTCCAGCTATGGGAAGTTTGGCGCCAATAATACGGCAAACTGCCACTGCGGCGCCAAAGAGAATTGAGTCCGTCTCGCAAAGGTCCCGGCCGGCTTCCAAATAGGTCACCAGCATTGGGTTAAGAGCCCTCACGACAGCCCGATTTCGCTTGCTTAGGAGTATGCGGAGAAGTCGCGGTCGATTTTCGAGAGGGGTGCTGCGCGTTTCTAAAATCGCCTCTTCCTAATAATAATACATAATAACGTACAATTTCTCGTAGTACAACTGAACAGCACAGTTAATATCAATCTCTTTAGGTAAAAATAAAGACCATGAAAATCTGCCTTGCGCCAGTTCCAGCGGTAACTCTGCGTATTGGAAAAGGATGACGTTGGCGAAGCAGGAGAAGAAGTGAATGTTGAAAAAGCGAATGGAAGCTTGATTATAGTATCAAGCGCGTTCACTAATCAATTTCTACCAGAGGGTCTAAATTTAGATACACACTTAAGTGACTGGGCTCTAAATTGCTCAGTACGAAATCCAGCATACCGCCTCGTCTATTTAACACTGTATTAAATGTATTCAATTGGTGGAGTGAACAAAAATTACAAAAAAAAATCAAATAATGGGTCTTTACATTAACGCTACAAGAATTCAAATTGAAACCACTCAAAATTAATACATTCATGTCGGTGTATGTAAAAATAACATCTTCAATACAGGCCAAAACATTTAAATATTGAACGTCATTATAGTTCGGAGGACAATTAATAATTACAAATATTAATTCTTTGTCATTAGTCATACGATCAATTTCAGTAACAACCCGAACAGAATAACAGTCTCGAACAGCAAGCAGTACACAAGTATCGTTCGCTCTATCTTTACGTATTACCGTGTAACCAGGAGGGAAAAGTTTGCTATCAAATACTGAACTAGTTAAAAAGGTCTCAGTCAACCCTATGATGTCATATTCAGTATGTGTAACACTGTTCATAAATGTACTTGTTTTTGATCTTAGGCCTCGAACATTCTGATAAAAAATCCTTAACTCACGCACTCTCGGAGGATGCTTGTTGGCTGTTGATTTTGACACGAAAGTTCTGACGCCAAGGCTTAACACATATGCCTTCAGCCCAGTTGCCAGATGACATGACAGTTTCAGCAATTTCAAGAGGAATACCGAGCTTAAAAGAAGCACAGCGCCCACGGGACTTCAGCTTCTCGACGGTACTCATGTCACCGCGACATATAATTCTAAGGTGATCCCGCACTTGTTCCACAGTAGTATCTTCTTGAAGATAGTACAGATGTAGGTATTTCCACCTAGCGACAGCCTGAAGTAGTGTTGATCCAGGCGCTGCGGTACCTCTAAGTACGCCAGGAAGCGAAGTACGAGATCGTCTGCGACTCACCTCCACCCACCCGTCTTTGTCAAGGTTATCAGAGTCAGGATCGCCAGTTGCAGGAGTAGATATAGAGCGGGACTTCTGCATAGTTCTATCTGCATCAGGTCACTGAATCTGCGAGCGAGGTACTTGGTTTTTCATTTTGTACGACGGGCTTCGCTTTTATCTGGGACTGAGTTTTAGTTTTATGACCAGCTTTAATTGATGTTGTATTTAAACTCAAATTCTTAGTTATTGCATCCTTATAAGTGTCTGCTTTTGTCATAAGCGTTACTTCTAATTGTTGGATTTTAGTCGTCACCATATTGATCTTTTCTAAAAATTCATTTTTAGCGCCAAAAATTTCTCAGCAAGTAATTTGTTAATTTTTTCAATAAGCTGCTCTTCAAAATTGGCTTGCGTTTTCCTCAGTTCCAGTACGACAATTTCCTTGATTTCGTTCAGAACATAGTTTGATGTCAGGTTCTGGTTAGGAAATTGCTTAAACTGGGTTCCGCCATGGAGCATATTGACATTTTCAGTTGGACTAGACATACTTTGGTCTAAGATTTGATGCGTGCGTACAGGGGTTTGCGAATTATTGCCCTTAGGTAGTCTACTGTGACATTCAACGCATATCCAGGACCTCTTAAATTCCACGGAAAAAGTAGCAAACTTTTCAGGACTAAAATTAGCACAAAATATGTCAAAAATTTGCTTACATTGAGTACACTTCATATAAGCGCCGCCTTTAGTCACATCGTTGTGACATCCCGCGCAGGACGCTTTGATTGGTGCCATCTTAGCGCTGTGGTTGACAGTACTTAACAAAGCAATACGTAGCGAGCGGCGGTGGCGACGATCGGCCGGCAGGTGCAGAGACTCACAGCAGCGAGCTATCCGCGAGTTGTCGTAGGTCAGTTACGAGACCGTTAGACAAAATTTTTGAAAATATTTTTGCCTGTAATTTAAGTAATTCCACTCACACTGAAATTTTAATGTAACCACTGGAATCATGGATTAATTAGCTTTAAAATGAATGTTAACATAACTCTAAGCGCGAACTTTAACTAATTATTATGACTATTTCTTTACGGAGCAATTTAGCACAGTATGTTGCTTAATCAACTTCAACGAACGAACCCTATGCTATGGGCTGATAAATACGGCTGATTTAGAAACTATTTTTGTTTTACATACGAGAGCCGTAAGAGCTATTTAAAATCTTAAACTGAGATAGTCTCCTAGAGTAAAATTTAGGGAAATAAATATATATCTTTGGCGTCTCAGTATATTTACGAAAACTTTATGTATGTTTACAAAAACAAAGATAATTTATTAAAAAAGTGATAACACTCTGTAAACACTAGAAACAAACACAAGCTAGTGATACCAGTTTCTCGACTCCACAGAGTCGGTAATTCATTCTGGAAGCAATTTATACGCTATTACAACAAAGTCCCTGAAAATATACAAGGCGTCTCTACTGATTTTAAATATTTAATTAAACAAAACTGTATAAAAAGGGTTGATATCATATAAATGAACACATAGTTGATAATAACCTCTGGGAATGAGGTGGTCACTTCCAAGTTGTTTCTAATATAAATCTTGTAAATATTTTGTAACCATTCAAATTGTAAAATTTATTTTTAAAAAAAAGTCCCGCCGGGTTTCTTGCTGGTACTTCCTAGGACAGAGGTTTCATTCTGTATATGTGATCTATATCGAATAAAAAATTATTATTATTATCCAACGATACTATAAACTCAGGGAAATCGATTTTGGGCCACTTTATTACAAAACATTGAATTTTATATTTGAAACTTACAGATTATATTAAGTAATTTAGAAGGAAAACATCGCAAAGAAATTTGCAAATCTGAGCTATAAATTCGAGGACAAAGAAGTCCGCAAACACACACACGCACGCGCACGCGACGCGCACGCGCACACGCACACGCACACGCACACGCTCACGCGCACACGCGCACGCGCACATGCACACGCACACGCACACGCACACGATATTTTCCTACATAGGTCTCACCTTAGATTGCGTCATAGGCTGTATATTTGCCGTAGTTACCAAGTAAGGAAGTCGGATTGTCAACCGCAGTTAAGTTTATTTATTTCGAGTTGTTACCAGTAAGACTACACTGTCCATTTTTTTTATAGTTTCCCTCTGTCGCCTCTTACGACACTAATGGGGTGATATGGAGCACTCGATTCTCTCAAGCTACCACTACATGGTACATATGTAGGTTACCTTATTTTTATGGTTGTTTTTGCAAAACCAACAATGTATAAATACCCACATAATAAAAAGTAATGAAAACAGTTTTTTTTATGTTTCTTGCTTTAAAATAAAAAAAATTTCTAAAGTACATAAACATCTCTTTGAAGCTTCCATTTAAAATGCGAACGTATAATATTTTATAAAGTTTATATTAGTCTTTCCGTTCAGACTGCCTCGCGCTTCAGTGATTATGATACCGGACTTCAAAGAGTATAACACTAGCGATAGTAGTTACTTAGCCGCTTTTTTATGTAAATAACAGTGACAAACAAACACACAATCTGACGGTTAGTGTATGCTGTGGCTCGCAGACCCATCCATAATCGATTAAAAATCAAAATACAGATACTTTGGACTGACTAGACTGACTAGATGGAACGCCCCGTTGGAATGATCGAAATACAGATATAAAGTCATCCAAGATAGTAATTAGTTTTAAAATAAGGATGACAAACGAGCACGCAATTCACCTCACGGTAAATGGATGCTGTGGCCCATAGATATTTACATCTATCTTCAGTTAAGAATCAAAACGTAGATGCGTTGTCACCCTGAGGACTGAGATGGATTGCCTCTTTTACAGTAAAAAGAGTCCCCGGAACACTACGATGACTGTAAGGTACACACTACATAATGATTTTTTTCGTTAGGCGATAAGTGACAAGAATTGAAAGCTCTTTTTATTGACAAAGTTTTTTTTATAGCAGAAAGGTCAAATCAGCTCACCTGATAGTTATAATAATTAGATTATTATAAAAAGTAAAAACATACCGAATGAAATATTTTTCAATTAACATCTTGAGAGTTATTAATGTGTGTGGTTTTTATTATATTTACGGTTTTTGATCTTTATTTTTCTTCTCTTAACGCTAAATTGAAGTTAAACATATCACATTTTAAGTTCAATAGTCACTTTGAGGGTAAAAAAAACAATTTAACAATTAACATTTCAAACTTTAAACGACTTCGTATCACCCGACTCGGCAAATTAATTTTATTACACATACATATTTGCGCTAATAATAACATCCATACATATAAATAAAATTGAAGTGTGTGTTTAATATATCGAAATAACTGTCTTATATGTATAAAAATTAAACCTTTGTGAAACATGGTAGAGCCACGCCACAGCTATATAATGGTTGTAGCACAAATGGGTCGGCTTGACCGAGGTAGGACCACGCTTTCACAGAATACCAACGTAAAATAGCAACTTAAAGGCTTATACTACCTCAAATGGCTTAGCAAGATCCTCCGTTATGCCGAAAATATGGCAGCATTAATTTTGAAATAAACACGATTCCGTAAAATTATAAAATAACATGAAAGGTTCTCACCGGGATGGAATCCATATTTTCCTATGTCTCTAATCGACGATTACTGACGAAAGCCTGAACTGGCACTAGCTAGTTTTGACGCAGGTTGGGTTGGTGCTGGTGCTGTCACCAGCGTATTAACAATGCCGGATGCTTGTTTGTGTCTGTAGGCAACACGGCCGGCTGTTGGTTTAAGGCTGCATCTGGATGTGGGGCACGTCGTAACTGGTCATGCAGGACTTTACGGGGCCGACCATGGTGACTGACAACTTTCTTCAAGAGGTATCGGTAGTTATAGAGTACTCTATGAATATTGTAGGGCACACTAAACTTGTGGTCTGGTTCCTGGGGCTATTTTTTATTAAGGGGAAATAGTAAAAACACTACCTCAAATGGCTTAGCAAGATTCTCCGTTATGCCGAAAATATTGCAGCATTAATTTTGAAATAAACAAGAACGCGATTCCGTAAAATTTTCTCGATAGAAAAAAATCCAAAATTACCTCCAAACCGAACAATAAACCGCTGGTATTCACAAAATACTTATATTAGATCATGAAACTTTGCATACGAACTGAACTAACTATAAAGCAGGGCTTATGTATTTTTTTTAATTTCCATTATTTTCACTGTAAAAAGAAAGTACCTAAACTATCGGCGTCATGAAGCTTGTTCCCTGCCAGCCGATACTCCCACTGAGTCTCAATTTGGCTTTCGAACGGGAATGCTGTGTCGTTTTCGATCGGAATACACATTACGTAACAGAAAGTTAAAATTAGAAATAACCGTAATAAAAATAAGAAGCGAGTGGGTTGGCGTAAAGAAACCTAATGAAATAAGTATCTAACGACCTATCTACTTACAGCATTAGTGATTACAAACATGACGCTGGATAGCAAACGACGTACGGGGAAGTGGGGGTGAAATTAGAATTTGAGTTGGTAGTATAGGCCCATAATGCTGCTGCGTTTCGTATGTTAAGTGTAGAGAATTTGAGATTATTTTTACTGAAAATGAGGCATTACATGTCAGTCCTCAGGGGTGACACCGTATTTACATTTTGATATTAAACGTAGAATATATGTACTCGTCGATGTCTATGGGCATCCATTTACCATCAGATGGACTGTGTTCTCGTTTGTCACCTATATTCTATAAAAAAGTTGAGCTGAGGGTTTACAATTTTGGTCTGTCTGTCTGTCTATCTGTTGGTTTATGTATCTGTCTTTCCGGGCTAATCTTCGAAATGGCTGAACTGATTGTAATGAAACTTCAAGAACGTAGGTAGCGAGCAATGCCAGGAGTGGTCTAGACCATATTTTATCAGAAGAACTTGAAAACGTCTTTAAAAAAAAAGAAAGAATTAACATAATAAATGGACATTTATTATCTTAAATCTCAATAAGAACACTTAATTTATTCTACCCAAGTCAGATCGGGTTGTTAAGCACGCGTGCACGCACGCAATCAATTACTCGCTCACACATACAAATATTTTGTTTCTTCTTGAAATAATACTAGTTTTTACGAATTTTATCGCGTATATTTAACTATAAATACCCAACGTTTCGAAAGCTTTACAGCACCCATGGTCACGGGGGGGGGGGATTTTTGACACAAAACAATCAAAACACATCCTAATTTCAATAGCGAAGATGGCTGGGTGCTACCATCTGCTTGAGATCCTATAATAAATAAAATTAAATCC